GCCACGCGCCGAGTGACCCCACAGTGTGGCACCGAGCAGTGTGTCCCAGCACCTGCAGCCCAGAGCATGTGTGTCACACCTGTGTGAGCCAAACTGCCTTCCGTGCAGGTCCCAAATCCGCCGCTGCCAGCACACCCAGGAGGAGATGTGGTTGCCATTTCCAGAGCTGCTCTCCCGCAGTGTCTGCAGAGCGATGGTTACAGTGAGCTCAACAGCTCAGAACTTGTCCCTCGTTTGGGTTTGCTTCTTAGTATCTGTCTTATATGGGATTTTTTAACACAGTTTTCCCAGAGTTCTGGCTCCATGCATGTTGGGTGTGGGCTCTGGACCTTTCAGCAGAACTTGCTGAACGTCCGTTGGAGTACTGAGTGCCCCACAGCTTCTGCTCTGAGTACACAACACAGAAAAATAGTAGCTGGCTTGTTGTCACTTACAAGATTATTGTAGTGGTTTCTTTATCGATGAAACTTTCTTTCAGTAACGAATATTTTTTATTAATATCTATGTTTTCTTTTCAGTATTATACCTTGTAATTGTGATGCTTAAGAATGTGTTACTTCAAAACAAGGATGGGCAGTAGGTCAGGCTCTGAAATGAGTCTCTGGCACCTGATGGGGATCGTAGCAGAGGCAGTAATTCATGATCATAGGATGTTTGCAAGATTTTAAGCTCAACCATCACTTGCTGTCTCAAATGAGCACACAGCAAGTGTTGGTTCAGCCAACTTCTCTCTCTTCACTGAATTGTGTTCTCTAGGATGTGATACCAGTACAAAGTGGTTTGGGATTCCTCAGTATGAAAAGTGCTTGATTATCAGAACAGTTCCCTATGATTTTAAAAAGGGTACCTTAAGCTGTGTTTGGACATGTTTTGATGACTGTTCTTATAGCAGTACATGCTATTTATCACCTCAGAAACCATAAGAGGGGAAGCCAGTACAGAGCTTTGCTTCTAATCACTTTGAAGGTAACCTGACTGCAGCTTGTCCCAGAGAGTGAGGTGGGGGTTTTGTCCTACATGTAAATTCCCATTTCCTTTGGTGTGTGTCAGTCTTCACTGTGATATTAGCAATATGATTATTTTCTTGCATGTTGCTGTATTTTACCGAGCAATTAAAATACAAGAGAATACACAGAAATCAGTGTAGCCATGAGAAGTTTCTACTAGTTTTGTTCACATAAGAAGCTCTAATGATAGTATTGATATGATTCCATGTTTTTACAAGACAAAAGCAGTTTTTCCTCAAACAGAACTAAAATTACCTTCTGTTCATAGGTGTAAATAAAACACAACTATCTTCTGTTTAATTTAAAATAAACTGAGAATCTCAGTCCTTTATGAACTGAACTTTACTCTGCTGGAGCATGAACTGTAAGCCAAGTTCATAGCTGTAACTTTTTAACGTGGGGTTTTTGCCACATTTCTGTCATGACTTTTGACTTCTGTTTGTCACCAGTATGTAGGAGTTAAAGTTTTTCTTTCTAAAGGCATTGCTTGGTTCTGAAGAGGGAAGTTTCATTAGTACAATGTGGGCTGATCCAAAGCATGTTGGGGTTACTCAGTTGTTATTTATCAATGAAAATCACCACCTTCTTTTCCCTTTTTTCTCTCCCCCCACACAGAGTGAAGAAGCAGAGCTTCATTTTGGCTTCTTTGTTCGGTCTATTGTGCACATTGTTCCAGGGGTAGCACCAAATTGGGGGAGTGGGGGGTGTCTTTTAAGCTTTAAGTGGGACTTAAATTCTCTTTATGCTTTGGGCTGGCATTCTGCATGTGGATTACATTTTAACTTTAAAGCTTACAGTTGAAACCATTGTGTGAGGCTGGTACATGATTGCCAAATAGTTTTTGCCATCTGTTAGATCACCTCCAGCTCCTCCAGCAGCAGAGCAAACACACAGGCTCTCAGATGCATTTGGTATATGTCAGGTTTAAATTTTACCCATCTTTTATGCCATTCTGCTCCAAATAAAAAGATAACTCCCACAATATTTCCCACTCTTTGCTACTTCCCATTGCCCAGATATTTTGCTGATTGTTCCAAGCAGAAGCTCCTCTAAGTAATCATTGAGATGTTTGTGGGATAATAAATTCAGTTACAGTGGTTAGTGACAGACAGTTTTGTGACATCCTGAGTTGAGGGCATTTCATATTTCTGTGACAGCTGCCTTATTTTACCTTATTTTGGCGGGAATATGATGTTCTGTTGGTTAATGTTTTGTTCTGGTAATTCAGTTTTCCGCCTTAAATCACTGTAGGTAATGTACATTTACATATCATGCTAATGGCTAGTTTGATAATGACTTAATTAAGCCATCAGACAACAATGTGTTCTGAATGAAGCAAATTATTGAGCTGATGCTTTCATGAGCAACTGGAGAAAAACAATATTTTAACTTTTTCTGTAATGAAATATTCCTACTGTTGAGCACTGTAATTCAATTTGTGAGCCGTGACCCCTCCTAAACCATGGTTATCACTTGGATTAATAAAGAGCCAATTTGCTATTGCAGCTTCGTCACTTGGGAAATGATGAGGTTCACATCGTCTGGTCTGAGCACACCCGCAACTACCGCAGGGGCATCATACCCACAGACTTTGGGGATGTTCTCATTGTTATTTACCCCATGAAGAACCACATGTTTTTCATAGAGATCATGAAGAAGCCGGAGGTATGTTTTGGCTGCTTTTTTGGGTTTGCAGTGTGTTGTGCAACTGACCAGCAGGTCTGTTGCTTAAATAACACTCAGTGGTTTAGAATTTGGGGTTTGTTTTTTCACAGCAAATACAAAATACAGTCTGTTCATCTCAGGTGGAAAGCATGCTAAGCAAGGAGCTCTGACTTAAAAACTAGAATTACTAAAGATGATCAAAGTGGTTGCTTATTCATTTCATAGTACTGCTTAGCACTTAACAGAAATATTTCAGAATTTTCGACCCATAGAAGTTACTGTGCAAACAACACTATTTAAAACCATTGTGAGTTTCCACAGTGAGACTCTGAAAGCAAAACAGTCAAGATTTCAGTTCAGTGTGCTGTTAGATTCCCCCCTGCCACTGGGTCATTGCTGTACATGTGGTACCGTGCAGAACCTCATGTGTCTATGGGGCTGTCGTCATCATTTGTCTCAGTGGGATCCTGTAGGCAGTACTGGAGCTTCAGTATTTTCTGGTTAAATTGTTATTTGCAACCACATTTGAGATATTTTTTTGAAAGATATGTGGGGGTTTTTCAACACATTGGGGGGGGGTGTATGTACATCTGCACATATGTATGAAGAAGTCACTTCAGTAAATGCTTGTTTGGTACACTATGGGTGCAAAAATGTATACAAAATATACTGGATGGAGGTAATCAGTGCGATAAATACCATTTCCCTTACATGAGGGACAACATTTATCCAAGAGAGTAACCAGCTGTGGGAAATGCCTGTGTCAGATGACATATTTACCAGCTGTGGACAATATTTTTTGAGTTGTGAATGGTGGAGCTCTTAGATACTGACACCCAATGGTTTGTCAGCAGACACTTCTAACTTGAAAATTTTCTAGTAGTGGGGGGATTTTTCCTACACATGGTTTTGAGCTCTGCAATTTACTTTTGGGGAATTTTATGTTTTAATGTTCCATCAGGAAAATGAGAATTTAGTGTTAGGAGAACACACTTGAGACTTCTCTGGAGCAATGGAGAAAAGCTGTGTCATCTTACATGTTAGTCAAAACCACCCAACGGGCAGCCAGAATAAGAGCTAACTGGAAATTTAGTGTTATCCCTACATTTAAAGTACAAACCATTACAATGTAATAAAATTAATCCAGACATTTCCAGGGCAAGTGTGGCTGACCTTTTGTTCACCAGCTACTGACCCCAGGGTGAATGAAAGAGGCTTGCAGAGAGAAATGTCTGTTGTTTGGCTTCAGTCCCTGGTATTTAAATTGCATTCCCTAATCGAATGAAAAGGCTGTCCTCTCTATCAGGTTACAGAATCCATGGCAACATTTGGCCTTTTATATCCATAATGTTAGCCTTTTTGTTTGCAGCCAAGTAGAGACACCTGGAGCAATGTTAACATTAACCGCTTTAGCATTAATAGCTTCATTATAGAAGAATTTCTGATCAGATAGCTGTTACTTTTGTTATGTTGCTTCAGCTTGTATTGTTTTCATTTTTGATCTCCCTGCTTGGCAACCGGGCAATGATTTGCAAATTTTTTTTGTCTTGATTAATTAAGCAATATAATTATCAGGAACCGTGCTGCAGTCTTTGCCCGACAAAGCTTCGGAGGGAAGACAATAGTAAGTCTGTTAGTGTGAATGCATTCCACGCGTCACAGATGCACGAGGATATTGGGAACAATGAGAGGAAAAGCTGCCTGCGAGAGGGGACAAAGCATGCCAGGCAGGCTCCGCACTGCACATACCGCCAGGGACATGCTGCGGGTTCCCTGGGACACAGATGCCTCGTTAGATTGCAGCTCGTCATCAGAGATTAATTCTCAGCCATTTGGTACAATAATTTACCCATTCCCCACTCTTTTAACTAGTGCTGCTTGCTGTAGAGGGGCAGTCTTTGTGCTCAGAAGGTTTATTTACCCTTGCCTACTTTTACTGCGGGCAACAGAAATAATGATTTTTCTCTTGGAAATCGGGACGAGGCAGGTGCTTGCAGTGGGCTGAGTATTAATTTTTGCTTTGCAGATAACTTGCAGTGACATTTGGAGTACTCGCAGGAGGGGGATCTTTCCCTCCAATCTTTTGGTTTTTAATGGATTCCTGTCAAAGCAGACTATATGTTTGTAACCATCAGAGCCCTGTTTTCCTCGGGTGGGTGTTTAATGCGGGGGTACAGAGGAGTGCGGAGCGGACAGCGTGCCCTGAGCATTCTGCTGGCCTCCCCCCCGGATCCCCTGTTAGGGCAGAGCCCCTGTGCAGATGGAAGCTGACGAGATGCAGCTCCATTGACTTTAATGACCCTTGGCGTGGCTGCTGGATCTGCTTGGGAATGAATAATTCCAAGCTTTGTGTCCGCACGGTCCGGCTGTGCAGCGCTTGGATTGCGGCAGGCTCTGCGGAACCCTCAGCTCCACTGCTGCTCTGCTCATGTGAGCTTGTGTCTGGCTGTGTGTGTATTTATGCACACACATGGATGAGGTGTGTAAGATAAACTCTGCCCCACTCCCCAAACCCAGATGGGTTTGGAACCATGACACCAAGTCCTGTGAGCAGAACCTGCTTGTCTAAAAAGCCTGACAGGGAATTTGCCAGCACCGGTAGTATCTGCTGATCTGGCTTTACATATCTGGTATGTGTACAGTGGTGTAATTTTATTACTAGTATATACTTAACCTTCTTGCTTGTACTAAAAAATAGAGTTTTACATTCTTCTCCTGTTGTCAATACTTTTAAACAGAGCATGGGGTAAAAATTTCACTTAGAAACGTTACTGCTTAAAGAGGGAAAACTTGATGCTCTGGAACATTACAATTCAGGTGGCATAGGTTTTTCTCTGTCCCCTTTCTTTCCAGCTGTCTGGATAGTAATGCTAGCAGTAAATTTAAAAAAAGGCAAAACCACTATGGAAACATTTTGCACTAATCTATTTTTTGGGGCGGTGGGTAATTATTTTAAGTAAAGGAATGACAGAATAAGTGTGTGAAGAGACAGCTGTCATTTGCAGATGTTATATTAAACCCAAATTTCTTCTGTAATTCATTGCCACTTCTAATTAGAGGAATTCCCTAGATGCAGGGGATTTATATTATTCCCTTTGTCCATTTATTGAATGACTGTCACAGTCACCCACAAGCAGTTGCAGAAGAATAATAGAGGGTATTTATTTATGTGATAAGCCTCTGTACAGATGGAAAAAATCCATAGCTTAAATATTGATAATTGCTGCTGGCTTCTGTTTGGGGCTTTGGTTGGGGGATTGGGTTTTTCATTTTGAGTTTGTGAAAGGGAAATGAGTTTGAGTACTTGTAAGTGCTAATGTTTATTTTGTATTTAAACATCAAAATTTTCTGGGTTTGGCAGGCCAAGGCTGTTATGTGTCTGCAATTCTGGACATAGTTCACTTTTAGGAAGCATCCCTTGTACCTTGTGTGGCCTTTATATCTTCATTTATGTGTGACCTATGAGCCATAGGTCACCAGAGGACACAAACAGGGGTTTCCTCCAGAGGGGACCCTGAAGGAGCAGCATTTGAACACCTTGATGTGCTGGGCTGGGCCCGTTTGTGCCTGTCCCTGTGTTCTGCCTCTGAGAGGGGCCACTGCTCTGCCATCTCCACTGCCTTCTGCACACACCTCCTCATCTTGGTCCAGTTCAAGTTTTTTTCCCTTACATGAAGTCCATGGAAGGAGTTTATAGAGGATTATCTGAAGCAAATACGTTTTTGCAAAACCTCTTGCCAGTGTTAGATTCAGCCAGTGAATCAGGGTCTCCTGTTGGAATCCCAGATGGAAAACAGCTCTTAATATCTAGTCCCAATGGCATATTGATTGCAAATTCCTAGATGGCTTTGTTTCCGATGTGTAACAAGCTCATGTTTACTCAGCTGAATGTTCTGTGAGACGTGTGTATCTGTGTACAGTGTGCTGATGGCAATTATGGAGAGTTTGAACACCTATGAGCTTGGGGGATGGGTGTCACACTAGAAGTTTCAGTGTGGGGAGCAATGTGGTCATCCTGGTTTGTGGCAAAGTGCTGTACCATCTCATGTAGTGGTTCCGAGGCTTATTCTTGTATTTTGGGGTCCCCAGGTGCCATTTTTTGGTCCTCTCTTCGATGGAGCAATCGTGACTGCAAAGCTGCTGCCAAGCTTGATCTGTGCCACGTGCATCAATGCCAGCAGAGCTGTCAAGTCCCTCATTCCACTCTACCAGAGCTTGTATCCTTTCTCCCAGGGGGCAAGGCTCCCCGTAGCAGGGTTCTTACTTCCCAGCATCCTTCTGCAGAGAGGTAGGCTTGGATGAAAATCCTTCCTATTTGATTTTATCAGCAAAGGTCAAAGCTTTCTTCTGTCAAGCTCAGTGTCTTCAGTCATTCACACCCAGTTGTCATCCCATGCTTTAAAAATAAGATGATGACATCACAGGAGTGTTCTCACCAACATCTTCTGTCTCACTGCTGGGGGAGGTGGACTTAGCACTGAGGCTTTGAATGGTGAGTTATGACAATTTTCAGTTTTCTTTCACACTGATAGAAGTTACTGACTCTCTATGTCATGCTGGTGCACAGACCTCAGTCATGCTCATACCTTATGCAAAGTACTAGTCCAGGCAACTTGACTTGGACTCTTTACGTTAATAACAGACAGATGGGATTTAGCCTTGGATACAGATGTTTCAGTTCTCAAGTTCCAGTTTTATTCCAGCCACACCTGTATTTGGGCATTTCCAGAACCTGTTTTCAAATAATGTCTGGAAGGTACACAGTGGATGTGCTTCTATAGGACAGGAGATGTGACATAGGCTTTTATCCTTGGTTGCTGCACAGCATCACGGCGTTGGTGCTAGTTTGCACTCATTCTAGGATTCTCTCACAATACCATCATACATTTTATAGCTTGTTTTGCTAATCACATAAATTGTCTCAGGACCAACACCCACTGCACTTTCCTTTCTCTGACGAGCTTTTGATTTGAGCATTTTTCTAACCACATGACTTTGAGAAAGAGTTTGCAAGTGAAATGTTTTCATCTTTGACAGCACACGGATGAATTAGTTTGAGATTCAAATATTTAAAACACAGAGTATCCTCAAAATACTAGTGGTTGGGGTTTTTTTTAGGCTAAATTTTATCCAGTATACTTCACAGAAGTCATCAGAAATGAAAAGTAGCATTGTGGTTAAACTGAGTTGTATTTTATTAACTGAATTGCATACTTATTATCAAGCCAAGGCTGCTGGTGGTTGTGCAAACCGTGGCACTGCCTGACAGGTGAGTCAAGACTTGCTGAGTCTTCACTTCTGTTTTTTGAGAGAAATCTAGCAAGTTCCTAAAACTGTTCTGTGCAGAATTTACCTTAATCCATCTGCTTCTACAGTCAGTGTGTAATAATAACTAAGTGTAGTAAAATTAACATCACCAGCAGCAACTACAAGAGCAAAACTCTCCCAGCCCCTCACTCCTAGTCGGAGTCCTTCAGTTCCCAACCCTACTCAGCTTTTGGCTTCCAGCATTCTGAGAGCGAGCAGCTCACCAGCTGGCCACGCTCCTGCTGTCCAAGGGGATCTCCCTCGGGGTCCCTCCATGTCCCCAGGGTGGCATGAGCAGCACAGACACGATAGCACAGGGCACTTCACTGCACAGGTTTGAAGCAGCATCTGTCTCTGCATTCTTTTCTCCTCTTTTTGTGGCTGCTTCTGTACCAGCAATGTCTGTAGTGAATCAACTGCCACTTGTCTGTCTGATAAATGAAAGCAGATTGAGAAACTCCTGAAATGGGACAAAGGGAATTTGGTGGGTAGATCCCATTGGGATGATGCTGGAGCTGGAGAAAAGGATATCCATAAGTCCTCCTATAGATAATGAAACACTTTGAGATATACTGAAATTGATAATGAGCCAGAAATTGGGATGTGAGTATGTAGATGTGTAAAGGTGATGCTGAGCCTGTCTGATGCAGCCATGCTGCTCTGCAGCTCTCAAAGGGTGAGTGACTCCGCTCTGGTGTTTGCTTTGCCAACTGCTATGAGGAGGACAGGAGGAAAGCAGACCTGGCAATGTGAATAGTAAGTGAAGGAGTTTAGTGCCTTTATCAGACTGGAGATGAAAATAGGAGGAAGAAATGAAAAGCAATGACCCTGGCAAAGTAAGGGACGGTGCTTGGCACACACTAGTCGTAGCCATGCAGTTGTGGTTAACCCTGACGGGTGGAGTGAGGCAGGGCTGAGGATGATCTGCTGCTTTGCTTTGGCACATGGGTCCTATTCCAAAGCACTATCCACACTAAGGGCTAAGTAGCTAAAGATGTTTTGATGCACGTGTGGTTAGAAATGGATTGAATGCTTTATCTGGTGTCAGTGGCGATAAGATGCGAAATCCGTGGTGCCAGTGGTGGTGGCCGTGGGGGGACCAGGGACAGTGTGGTGATGGTCATGGAGGGACCAAGCTGGTGATGGTGGCCATGGGGGGACCAGGCTGGTGGTGGTGACCAGGGGCCGCACTGCCGGCACAGGGTCTCGTGCTGGGGAGCTGGGGCAGCGCCTTGCTAGCAGTGACAGCTGAAGTCACTTGTTGGAAAGTCTGTAAACTCCTGCTACAGCTGCACTTGTCAGGGGTTGTAAGGGAAGTGTAATCAGCCACAGAGATTAATTTGCATCTCAATTAGGAAAGAGTCAGGAGGAAGCATAGGGTCTGTTGCTGGAAGGTTGTGGAAGAAATCTCATCAGGCACAAAAGGCTCCCGACTCGGTGCTCCAGCGAGCGGAGGACAATATCCGAGTCCGGTTTCCATGGGGACCAGGACCGCAGAGCCGCGGGAGCATCTCGCTGTGCCGTAGTCGTTTGGTCATGATGACACAAATTCCACTGTTGTACCCAAATACAGTTTTCTGTTGAAAACCTCCCTGAAAACTGAGAAGGTAACTTTGGCAGACCACGTCAGATTTTTTTAAATCTATTTTTTATGTTGTGTAACAGTTTCTGTTTTAAGCAATTCATTAGAGTGAGAGAGATCTTGATCAAAAATAATTAACTACAGTTAAACTTCAATTTAAAGCCATTCTGGCTACAGGTTCTTTGTGTACATCAACTGGCACGTGATGGCATCACGCAGGAGCCAGCACAGGGTGGTGCATGCACAGCTCAGTTGTCTTTGAAATGCTGAAAGCCCTGCTGTCTCCATAGCTGCTGCACTGCTTCCATGGGAGTGGATATTTGTGCATCAGTATATGTTCAAAATTCACATTTTATTCATCCTTGGTGCCATGGAGCACTGAGGCTGAGCGGCTGCAGCCTGTGCTAATTGGGGCTCTTGCCATCCTTGTGTAGCTGTGGAGTGTGAGGTGATGTGCTCCAACAGCCTCTTCAGGCTGCTTTTCCAGGCAGGAACTGTGATTTACAGAAATCATAAGCAATAAGGTGGCTTAAATTTTATGAGAACATGGAATAATACTATTTAACTTGCTACAATTGATGTATAAAAAGGTAGATATTTATGCAGGTTTTTGAAAGCATTTGAGTCTCCTTTTTATGTGCTGGGGAAAGGAAGGAACAGGCACTCTGGCAAACAAATAATTATATATCAAAACGAACCGAGGGTCTGTTCTGGGTCCAGCAGTGCTGAATATTTCAGAAAACTGGTAGGAGTGGTGCTGTAAAACTGCATCTCCGAGCTCTCTTCCAGCTTGTACGAAATCAGCTGTGTGCTGGAAAGGATTTTTGAACGTTTGTGTGATCCTGGAGTGCTGTTGCCCTAAGCTGCAGCAGTGCAGTCACTGGGAACTGGTCTTGTCTGTAAAGATGAATACTGGGGGGGAAACCAGGCTTTGGATTTAAGTGTTACGGGTCTGATTGGCAGCTGCTGTTTATGCTGACAGTTTCTAAGCTCAGGTGCTCGTAAACCTTCAAGTATGACAATGTGACTAGTTTGGCAGGTGTCAGGTGCTTTGTTCTGCCCATAATTCAGTTCTGGTCTCCAGAAAGACTTTGGGATTTGGCGATAGTGATGTCTGAGCACAAAGCTCCCTTTAGAATGCTTAGGGAAACACAGTTCTGACTGCCTAGGTTGTCTCTCCAAATGGAGTAACTTCCTTGCTCCTGGGGTTAAATTGGTTTCACTGAAATATTATTTTGGTGTTATTTGTTGCTAGTTTGCGGTTTTTCCTCCCCCTTTGTGAATAACTCTTACACTCCCAGTCCTGCCTGGTCTCACTAACTGAATTTGAAAAAAAGTAGGGGAAAGCCCAACACATCTGAAGTGTTACCCCAGTTTTGACCAGTCCTTTGTAAGCTGCCTTGTCGAGGATGGAATGTGTCCCATGTGCCAGCGCCAGTGGGATTCTTCCCTGTGTTCTTTGCTGATTTATGATAGTCTTTGAATTATTTTCTTAGCAATTTGAGCTCCATGTATCTTCCTGTGAATGAGTAAATAGAGAGTTAGTTCCTCTTGGGGTTTATTAACATGTTGATTATAAAATTATCTCTGTAAACAATCTCTCTTTTAGGATAAATTGGTTTGGTCTCATGGATAGAAAAGGGGTTTGATCTTATTCTGCCTGCTGATTCCTCTGTGTTCCTCATACTCTTCTGCAATACCTTGTCTAGAGCACACACAGAAATAACTGATGGGGTGGGTGTGCAGACCTCTGTCTGTGCTGTTGTAACTGTCCATCTCAGGTGCTGTGCCGGTGTTCCTGTGATCTGTGATACCAGCTGTACTACTACTGCTTTTTCAATGAATATGAAGACAATTACAGAGGGGCTGACCAAAATGTTCTTAGTCTGGTAATAAGAGAAATATTACCACCATGGCAGCTTGTGACCTTGTTTCTAAAGTTGTTTGCATTATTTGTTGTTCATTCAGAGAGAAAACCTGAAGGTGAAAGGGCCTTAATTTCTAGTTCAGTTCCTCATGGATGGTCACAGCACTTTGCTGCGATGTAACGTGTCCATGTATCCAGCACTGGAGGTGTCTGTGCATTGGAACAAGCACAAATGAGCATGAAGTACACTTTACATAATTTCTGAGCACTGGATGTCACCATTTCCCTGCTCACAGTTTGCAAACCTGTTTGTGGGCCAGAGGAAAACACAGCCCTTAGATTGGAGAAGTAATTTGATACATGAGGGCTACTGTTTTGTCCGCTGCAAGGAATGCGGTGTGCCTGCTTACCTGTGCCCAGCCAGCAGCTCAGTGGGGTAAAGCCAGAGCTCCATCTAAACACATAAAGGTATCTGTAACCTTAATTCATTACATTGCATCCAGATATTGACGTACGAATATACAGTGGATGT